CCCCCCCTCCCAAACACACAAAAGCTCTCTCCCTCTCTCACAGTCATGTATACACACACGGAGTGAAGTTACTGAGCGTCAACATGCAGGAATGATGAAATGCTGAAACACCAACAGCTTTCTCGCGAAAGTTTCTTCACCCCAAAGGAACTGTAACGTCATGTCACATGAGCTCCTTTCAGCCAATCAGAAAACTTTTAGATGGATAAAAATAAACCTTGGACGGCCCCAGAGTTATAATGGTTCATTGCATTTATTACGGAGGCAATTGAGAGTTAACAGACAGACGCGCAGTTTAAAACAAACAATTAAACGGAAAGAAGGTTGACACAGATAGGGTGAATTTGAGTGGGGAGGGAGTTGGAATGGGGGATCGTTGATAAGAGAAATAGATTTACTTAAGAAAGAGAGGGGGAGGGGGAGATGATGGGGCAGAGAGACAAGGATAGAGACTGAGAGCCAGTGTGTGTGTGTGAGAGGGAGAAAGAGAGAGAGAGAGAGAGAGAGAGAGAGAGAGAGAGAGAGAGAGAGAGAGAGAGAGAAATGGGGGCCCAAAACTACTCATCTCATGTCTTTTACCCTTAATAGTTAATCACACAGACATTCCTGATCCTGTAGAAAAACATAAAATATTTGTTCCAAAGTGCACATCTCCTATTACCCAAACACCACCATGTCTATAGACTTTCTCTCTCTCTCTCTCTCTCTCTCTCTCTCTCTCTCTCTCTCTCTCTCTCTCTCTCTCTCTCTCTCTCTCTCCCCTATCAAACATAATTATCACAATAATAATGACATATCTGTGTTACAAGTACCAAAAAACCATAACTAAAAAACAATCTAATAATCAAATAAATATTAAAAAGACACTTCCCAGTCTTTTTGCGCACATTGTTGATTAAGCTGGTTGTTCCCTGTTCCTGTAAGACTAAGAGATGGCAACAAACCCACTGTGGCCCCGAAAGTCAGTTCTGAATGCAGGGTGGGGGCTCCTGTTCTTTTGTAACATTTATTCATAATAATAATATTGTTGACTGATAGATAATATTGTATTACCGTATCGTCAACCAACTGCTCAGATGATGTGCTAAACCCAAAATTTTAAATTTTTTTCTTCTCAAATTGCAGTTTCTTTATCTACTGTTGTGTCGTTGCATGTATTCACGAAATATAATAATTTTGTCAAAATTGAAATTTTAGATGTTGGAGAAAAAAAGAGAAGCACGCTTAGCACATAAGGCAGAACGAAGAGAGTCTACATTTGTTAAACGAATGAAACAATTGTTTTCTCTCTACTTAAAAAAAATAAAACAACAACAAAAACGCTTTCTGGGCTCTGGGCTTAGAGTTAGAGCATTTGACCAGCTTGCCGACGATATAGCAGGCAAAGCATTGCGCATGACATGTATAAATTATACTATTCTCCGCAGCCCCGCCAGGCCCGCTACCTGCACTCCTTGCTGCTATTACGTCATCTGTATCTGGCCGGGTTCCGGACTTTCTACACCTCCCGGAACCTGCACTGTGCTTTCCGCCAGATCTTTGATGGCGCCCACAAAGCCGGTTGTCACGAGGTCAACATGATTAGGGTCAAATCGGTCAAGTTTGCCGACCTGGACATTTTCGAAGACCGGTGATTGGCAAAAGGGGTGAGGATAGTGTGGAATTGATTGATTGGTTGATTAATTTATTGATTGATTGATTGATTGATTTATCAGGGGGGGGGGGGGGTGCTGCTGTAAAAATGTGCTGCTTCGAATAAGTTGTACACTTTATTACCCATTTTGCTTTATCACATTAAGTCTTTGTGAATTTGTGAAGTGAAATGAGAATGAATCGTATGTGCTATTTCTTCTGGTAAAAATTCTTTTCGGAGTGAAATATATTATAAGCCCGAGGCAATTTCTTGAACCTGTCAAGATGCTTTCGGTCAATGAATGGCTGTCAAGGATGAAATAAGGCTTTGGTTTCTGATAAGAACTTCCGAGTTATTTTCGTCAAACTTTTCCACTTGTCTTATTTTATTACGCGCTCTCTGGCTCGGTCTCAGAAGAGAATTCGATCATTGGATGTCTCAAAACTTTTTGCACGTCGATGCGAAACGTTCGCACCATGGGCCGCACAAGTACGCCTGTATGAAAAGCAAAACGCCAGTCTCGCTATAGTTGAGTGCGTACGGCAGTTTTATCACCTTGCTCTTCATTTGGCTCAAATATTGTCAAAGGATAATGCCTCACAGAGAACCATGGGGGGGGGGGGGGGGGGGGGGGGGGGCTCCTCTCGTGGTGATTGCCTCTCATTCTATAGGTCTTGGTCCTGGGCTCGAAACCTGACAGATTTTCTTCTCTAAAACGTTCTCCTTTCACCTCTTTTCCTGCTGTCTAACAATGTTCTGTCGTCTGCTTTCATCTCCATTTTCTGCCCACTCTCCAACCTCCCCTTTCCCTCTAGGCTCCTGGCTCTTTCTGCAGCCTTTCTACTGCTATTTCTTGGCTCCGTCTTACTGCTGTCTTTCAGACACACCCCTAATCTTTAAGGTAGGTAAGATTTAGCACCTAGCCTCCTCGGATAAGGGCGAAAAAAAAAATCTGAGGTCCCGTGTGCAAATGGTCCTAAAATTGATAAGAGGAGGCTTCGGCAAAATTCGGTTCAAAATTAATTCCTATCAAATTGAAAATGTTTAACGTGTCCCGTGCACTCATATGACCTTGCGCAGTTGTGAGAGCCGTAAAACACTTGCCAAAAGAAAAGAAAAAGAAAGAACAGAGAACCGGAAATACATGCGGTGGCCTGGAAAAAAACAAGACGGAAGACCGACAGTCATGAACCAAGCTACAACCAGAAAATCCTAAAATGTTGATTTTTAAGAATTGAATTTGAATACATATCAAGTTCATACCGTTCATCATTTCATTTTTTTTTTGTGGTCGGTAAATTGTACTCGCCTACAGGTGTAATTAACGGTGTTTCTTTAAGCTTTTTGGGGATTTTTTCTTCTTCTTTTCTGAGGTATCTATCTCGACATTCATGACTCGAGCCGAGATAACCAACTGATGACATAACCTACCGAATGTAGCAAAGCGGGTGTCGCACAAATACCACGAAAAAAATCTATAAATTCTGCGGACAAAGGTCTGTGCAAACTAAAACTAAAAGCCACCCTTCTAGTCGGTAGAGCTTGACCCTACTCAAAATGTCAGAGAGACACAAACAGATTCCACGATGCTCATTTTTTTCTATCCAATTCAAATTATCAAATTACGGGCTTTTTTAAATTTTTTGTTTTGTTCCATTTGTTTGGTGGTGGTGTTTTTTTGGGCTTTTTTTCGGGGGGGGGGGGGGGGGTCGTTGTTGTTGTTGTTGGGGGGGGGGGTTTTTTTTTGGTTTTTTTTTTTTTTTGGGGGGGGGGGGGGTTGTTGTTAAATCGCCAACGGTTTCTAAAATGTTAGGGCTTGCAAGACCAAGTGAAAACGTGTTATTTCAAAAGGCTCCCAGACTACAAGACAGGCACACCGCAGCACAAAATATCAAACGGTGCGCGCGCGTCTGGCAAAGTTGTTCACACACTGGATACGCCCCAAAAACAAGTTATGCAGCTCTGTTGTTGACGCTTGTTTTGGGGCAATTGTTCTCCTATGGGGCAGCTTGACCTGAAAGATCCTGACCTATCATGAAAGAAAAGTTCCATGAGGCCACGACAAATGCTGAATTCGCAGACCATGTAAAAAATAAAAGTTTTATGAAACACAATCACCGATGACTGGTTCTTTTGTGTGCGACATAATATGTGTCACGACACGGTGGAATCAGGCCTTCGTTAATTTTAGGGCATATGGAGTTGTTGGCATAATCTTGAAACGTATTCATTTGTCTGGCTTTTGGTGAGAAAAATACCCATTTTTTAAAACCATATCTCAAGATATTTGTGATTGACAGAATAGAAGTGGGGATCGTCTGGTGTCAGAGGAAAAATAATCAAGAATGTGGTCAAAAGTTAGGTGAATTTCAATGCTTGACAGGATTTAGAAACTGTGCACATATAATAATAATAATAATAATAATAATAATAATAATAATAATAATAATAATAATAATAATAATAATATATAACATTTATATATATAGCGCATTTCCCCAAAAATAGCTCAAAGCGCTTTACATTGGAATACCCATTTTCAAAACCTTTCTTACTACTTCTTTTTTTCTCAAGCAATATATGTATATATATACATGTATATATATAATATATATATAAGTATATATATATATATATTTATTTACACACACACACACACACACACACACACACACGGACTATTTTCATTCAGAATAGGCATAGAACAACTACGGTATAATAAAGAATAACGCTAAAAGCTTATGAATAATAGGCCTGTATGAACAGAAAATGCTTAAGATGTCTTTTAAAGCTTTCAAGTGTTCTTGTTTGTCTTAGTACCATGGGTAATCTGTTCCACATAAATGGACCAAGATATGAGATAGATCTCTCTCCATATGATTTGTATGATTTTTACGAGTGTTATCGTTTGATGATCTTAGGTTTCTCCCTGGCTTATATATATATATATATATATGTATACTGATAAGTTCTTGTAGATAAAAAGGAGCAGTTTTATTTACACATTTGAAACACATGACACTTTAAATATTATTCTTTCCTTTGCAGTTCTATGGAGTGACATGGTCTCGTTTTTTAGATCTTGTTATCAGTCTAGCGGCATTGTTTTGAATGACTTGTAAACGATTCAAAATTTGTTGTTCAGACCAGCTAGGAAGGAGTTACAATAGTCTCATCTAGATAGGATAAGAGATGTTACCAATGTTTTTGTGGTGTCTTCAGTTAAGTACTTTCGAACTAGGCCTTTTTTGTGCCTTTAACTTTAATCAACGTGTTTCAGTAAATATCCACATAGAACTGTGTTTTTGAGGGACATAAAAGGTGTTGGAAAAAATACTAATATATTTATATAAGGATAATCGATAAACATTGGCCAACGGGCGGGAAAACGTCGGTTTCTTTGATTTCATTATTTTGACTTTAACGGGCGCCTGATTTCACCACGATGCCTGACATATAAATTTGCACTAGCTCTTCTTCAGCAGACACCCCTGCAAAAACGTGTGCTGATGTGAGGCATGCGACAAAAACACAACATGCCCAAAATCTTCTAAATCCCCGAAGATCCGAAATCAGAGTTGAAAAAACATAAAAGCGGGATCGTCTCTGACACAATTTCTGATGGTCCTCCCCTTGGGATAGATTTACAAATTAATGTTTCGATAGACAAATGTGGAGGGCCAAGAGAAAAACAAGAGATGCCAGGGTTTGGATAATTTGAATTATGACGTGAGTGGAAAGGTATTAACTCATCTCTAATCTCTTCACTGCATGCGAGATGAAATGTTTCCGCAAAACCCTTAACATTACATGAAGAGACAGGCAGAGAAACGACGAAGTAAGAACAACTACATACTGGGACAGCTCAACGGTCAACGGCAACCGAGGATGAAACAGTAAAACTAAAGTAGGTAAAGGAGAAGAGGTGCTGGGACCCGAGAAAAATATCAGCTTTAACCGATGATCAACTCAAGCGAGTTCAGCACAAGTGGAGTCGACTGTTGTAGATTGTGAAGCGCGTATAGCTTGCTGTTGAGCGACGATTGCGTTCACATGTGATACAAAATTATTTAAAGATTTTTTTCTTCAGCGGCTCCCCATAACAACTCACAAAACGTATCAGACCCCAGTGCTGTGTTCTTTGATGTGTTCACAATAGACCCTACATGTACGGGGTGGGAGGGGGTTCAATAAGTTTTTCGTCTGGGTATGAAGGAATCATGGCAGAGTAATGACATTTCATTTTCACCAGCCTTTAGACAATTTCTTTGGAACACACCATGCAAATGTTCGGGGAAATCCGACAATAATAAGGCACTAGTCATCGTGTTCAGTGAAACCATGCACAAAAACGTTTGGTTTTTCTTTGCTGTAGCTGTGTCATGGAGCCTGTTAAATATCGCTTAGTTATCAAGCTTTTACACTTGCAAGGAAAATCCCGTTTGGACGTTTTTCAGGAAGTGGTCCAAGTTTATGTTGACAACTGTCCTCGTTATAATACTGTGACATACAGGGTAAGAAAATTCAAATCTGGATTTATGTCGGTGACGGATGAAGATCGTGAAGGGCGCCCATCCTTTGTGGTAACTGCAAAGAATGTATCCATAGTGAAGAAACTGGTTTTACAAGACCGAGGCATAACTGTTAAACAGCTCTCATTTGAAACAGGAATCAGTGTAAGGTCAATTGAAGCGATTCTCCATGAACATCTTAACATGAATAAGGCGTCTGCGCGGTGGGCACCTCGCCTTTTGACAAGTGAGCAAAAGAAACAGAGGGTTGAGTCCTGAAAAACTCTCATTCGAATTGAGTCTAATGACACAATTTTCTTTAAAAACATGGTGACCTTGGATGAAACACGGATTTATCATTTTGATCCAAATGTACAAAATATGTCCTCCATGCAATGGAAAACCCCTTCTCCCTCACCAAAAAAGGTAAAGGTAACACTGTCAAGAGGAAAGGTCATGCTGTCGTGTTTCTGGGATTGTGAAGGTATCATCATGACTGACTACCTGGAAAATGGAAAAACAGTCACACGGCCAAGGGGACTACACTATTCGGACGGGTTTGCTGATAAAATTGCGGTCCGAATTGGTGAGGAAAAAAGGGTGAGAAACTCCGTAATGGGGTCCTCCTATTGCATTACAAAGCCCCTGCGCACAGGGCACAACAAACAGTCCAGACAGCAGAACAGTGTGGCTTTGAATTGAAATCCCGCCACATCCAGCTTGTTCACCAGATCTGGACCCTTCAGAGTTTTTTTTCTGTTTCCTAATCTTAAAAAGTCACTGAAATAACGTCGTTTCCATGACAACGAGGACGCCATAGAAGCTGTGGAAGACTGGTTAGGGGCCCATTCTGGGTCTTTTTTTTCTTAAGGACTTTTGAAGGTCAAAGACAGGTGGCAGAAATGTGTTATTCTGCATGATTACCATGAAGAGAAATGAAAGTATGTGTGCCAAGTTACAAAGCTCTATCATTGACTATCATTATTTCTTCATATTTAGACCAAAGACTTCTTGAACCCCCTCGTATTGCTTCTCCATGCCTACGCAACATGGTTAATATTAAATATCTACTCCCCTTCGTGGTCTCTTCTTCCTTTTTTGGGTCGATTTAGGTGATTTTATGCTCACATCGACACAATTTAGATTATTTAAGAGCCGGACTAGGACCCTGCCTGTCACCAAGGCTGAGAGGGATACAACATCCCAGCAGAAAGACCGAGTTACTCGAAAAATATTTACCCCACTCAGGAATCGAACTCGGGTCTCTTATGTGCGGTGCCGAAGTGCCTAACTCTAGCACCACAGCCGCCGACGCGATCTTTTCAAACAAAATTAAATGATAAAAACTTGTAAACAGTGCAGGGAAACTAATTCTCATTACACTCCATCCAGTACTTTGGGAAGCCTTTGCCGCCAACTTTATTGGGCTCAAACTTTGATGAAAAGTTAATATTTGCCTGTTCAAATCATATTTCGATCTTATTTTATTATCATCAACGGTTCCCGATGCAGACCTGTTCCAGAAAGTGATTTTTTGTCATTCTGTATTAAATATCTGCTATTATTGTAAATGGGTACTTGGTCAGTCTATCCAAAGTTTTAGTCACATACATGTACTTGTACCTATTTATTATGCTTATTTTGTAAAAGAGTTTGTTTTCCATGCGAGTGCACGGGAGATAGAGAGAGAGAGAAATATAAATATATATATACATTATATACATATAGATATATATATAATACTAATAATAGAGAGAGAGAGAGAGAGAGAGAGAGAGAGAGAAAGACTGAGAGAAAAAGAGAGAGGTATATATTTAAAGTTATAAGAGAAAGAAAGAGATGGGAGAGACAGAAGAGAGTTTGAGAGCTAGGTCCTCAACCAGTATGATGAAGGGTTGCAAATTTACATCCCACTATCGTAGGGCTATCTTAAGTTTGTCATTTAATTCTCGACAGGATTGTGCCAAGACTGAGGAGGTCCCATGAAAACTCTCCAAACAACCTTGTACAAGAACACCCCATTAAAGAGTTCCATCTCCACTCTGCCAGCATTGAGCATGCATCCAAAGGACAGCTTTTATTAGGGCCAACATAGAGAAATGTTTTTATTACTAGATCAAAATTATCTTTTTAAAAATATTTTTCGTTCAGAGCGCCATGCAAAGTAACATGTTCATTGGAAAATCAATAAATGAGCTAGAATTTTTTTACACAGCCAGACAAAAGTGAACAAGCTGTACTATATAAATATATGTAAATCATCTTTTAAAAAAAAATTATTTCATACATAAACGTATTGTTGTATAGCCACATATTCTTCATGTTCTTTTCTAAAAAAGTAAATAAATATTGCAAAGTATTCAACTTAGTTTAGTTTTAGTAGAGGTTTTATGGTGCTCGCAACTACGTATGGTCATATGAGCGCCAGAAGATTAGAGCTGTTACAAGAGAGTAACAAACATTTAAAAAAAAGAAGGGGAGATAAGGACGCGAGATGTTTGACAGGAAAGAAGAAGCAAACCACACCAGAGCACCCGCCAACCACCCATAAGTATTCAATGAAGCAGAAAAAGTTTTGAAACATGGAAACCTGTCATGCATTTCAAACGTTTCATTTATTGCAATAAATCTTGCAGGGAGAACAAAGTCAAACAAAAAATGAACATCATAAAAACCTTAATATATTCTAAAGAGCATATCAGACATAAAAATCTGTGATTTGCTTATTTTCCCCAACTAGAAGGAAAAATCACACAAGCAACAGAGTATTTCCATTCTTTCTCCTCTGGAAATGGCCCTACAAGTGTAACTTCTACTTGAAACTGAAATTGAAAGCAATAAAGGTCTGCAGAGCAGAGGTGTCATCACATAATGTTCAAAGCACATACTGTGCTCTTTACAGCTTTCACAAATTTGCTCATAACTCATCTAATCTATGTTCTATGAAAGTGTGGCACAGAATAGTGAACGAGGATCACAAAGTAGTGGACGGGGCACAAGACAGAAAATGACAAACAAGTAGCATAAAATGATACACAAGGAGCAGACTAGAGAACACGTAGAAGGCCTTCAGCATGATGAAGAAATCATTCCACAGGTTGGTGAACACACTGCCGTGGAAGGATGAAAACATAGCAAAGAGAACATGTGACCCAACATGGTAACAAGCTGATGTGTCTACTGTACTAACAAGTGACCCGCATTACATTGTTTTCAGCTTTACATTATAAATATATCAAATTTATGGGAAACATAACCAGACAGAAAAATGCATAAATGAGACACATTGCAGTAACATCAAGACTTGATAAAAAACCTTTTCTTTGGCACATCAAGAGCATGTTCACAAGTAGCCAGAGAGGGCAAAACATGAACAATACCCCAAAACAAACAACTAAAGGAAAACATACCCCCCCCCCCTCCTCAGAAAAATAAATGAATGAATGAAAAATAATAAAATTGTATGGAAGATCTTTTTAAAAAGTACAGGCCTACAGAAAGAAAGGCTTTTATGTTTTTACTTGACCTTACAGACTACCTGTACATTTTCTGATTTTGCAAGAATTTCCTGTCAACTCGGCACATGCTTAAGTTCTCTACAGGTTGAAAAGATTTAGTAGAGGCACCCGTTTGAAGCGGGGACACTGTTTTTTAAATTTTCCTTAAATTTCTATGTCCAAACATTAAGGCTCAATATTAAATTCTACAAGCACACTACATATCTAAGGGTTTAATTTTGTGGGTAAGCATAAAGTAGTAAAAGTAAAAGAGAGAACATCTACGCGCTAAGAAGCTTATGATGGGTTAAGCAAGACTTGCAGGAAGTATCTGCAAAAGAAAATGCAGCAGATTTCCCTGATCAGCAGTCCTGGCAATGTCCTCTCCCTTCCCACACCACATAACAAATACGACAGATGGCATTTCATACCTCTGCAGACCACTTTTGCACTCTGAGATTTTATACATGAATCGCCAGGTTACCCCCTCTGAAAACAGGCCTCTGACTATTAGTCTCATAACAAGTTGGGGGATATATCAGCAAAAGAACATTTTTGACTGGTCATTATAATGTTGGATTTACAAGATTGACTCATGTGTGTCTGGTTGTATGAACTCACTTGTAGAGTAAAGGCCATAGTCAGAATCTTACTTTAAATTTTTGCAATGTGGCATTGAAGAAAAGTCCAAGAATACTAACCTCCACCTACTTTCTAAAGAAACAAACAAACAAAAAGAAAAAACCCCAATAACTTGCATTTAGTCTCTTTTCAGCCAAACAATACAGTGACATCCACAAATGCAAGCTATTTTCTCTGCATTTTCAAAAACAAAGGGAAGTAATCTTTAACGTATTCAAAAACCATCCGAGAGAAAGAAAAATCATTAAAAAATTTATCCTGAGTTTGCACAGAGATAAGGGAACACTTAGCATAACAGCATGTTAATGAATCACCCGAGCATTGTGCCCTTGGAAGGAGACCATTGCAGTCCTCATAGCCATTTTCATGTGTTGATTATGTTGTGGCCTCCGTCTAAGCTTTGACAGAGCTACACCTCATGCAAACGCAGGAAAACACAATAGACGGTCTTCAGGAGATCATGTGGTTGACCTGGTTCAGGGCATTTGTCTTGTGGTCAGCTGGGTTTGCTCGTGACTCGTATGCTGTGATGGTCACTTCATGGCGATGGGCCTGGTCCAAGGGAAGAAAGATTGAGGAAAAATGTGAAGCCTTTTTCAACATTGTCAGGTGAGGGTTTTATGATCCTGATGGTGCAAAACTGATACATTTTGCAGTTTTTAACTTTCAAGAGAAAGTAAAGACAAAGAAATAATGTGAAGCCTTTTCTAACATTGTCAGATGAGGGCTCAATACTCCTGTTGATGAAAAACTGATATACTATGCAGCTTTTAACTTTCAGGAGGGCTTTCAACACAGCTTGTGAAATAATTATTTACCATGCACTTGAAATTCAGCTTATTGGCAAAACTGCAGACAAATTTGAGAGTTTCCAACATATTTTTAAGCAAAAGGATATACCATAGCCCTGCAACAGGGAATAACTTGCAGTAAATCTGGAGGCCCTTAGGCTCATGCCCTTTGAACAAAGTCATGTTGCACATGGTGGAATTCAGTATGCTGCTGTCTATAGCAGTGCAATTATTTTTCAATGTAGGTTTTTTTCCCCTCCTCTGTTGACACTTTCAATTCAGTAAGACTAAGAGAACAAAATGTAACAAACACCATTATCAAAAAAAGTCCAGAAATACAGGTCGGTACATTAGCAAAACAGACATTTGTTTCTCACCTGCATGTAGTCTCCTTTCAGCCCAATGTAATAGACTTCTGTGCTTTCAGCACCACCATGGTTACTCGGGAAGTGGATGGATAGGTGTGTCACATCACTGAATCTGGCCACACTGATGAAGAAAGGATTCAATTCAGAAGTTTATTGAGAAGGGGAAAAGGTCAGAGTGTTGTCACTAATAATACTAGAATGAGATAGAATGAAAATAACAAGAGGGCACAAAACCAAGGAGTATGATGCGAGAGAAAGAAAATATTATAGTTAGTACAAAAATCAACATTATTACAGTGAACTCAATATTCCCTGTCTTGGGCTTTTCTCTTGCCCCAGGACAACTGCATCATGAATATTTTGAATTATTTCTTATCACTTAATATATCATGACATCATTCTATCTACACCAGTGGTTCTCAACCATTTTCAATCCGCGACCCCTTTTGATTGTTTGGCAAATGGAACAACCCCTCATACCCAAACCCCGAAATAAAGTAATAAACAAACCCTTTTGACCCCCCCCCCCCAAAAAAATGCGTACAATCCAGCAGCAGACAATTAATAAGGCCTACGTTACATAGTTAATACAGACCAATAAATGTACCTTTGATGTTTCAAATCACTTTTATTTCAAGCAAATACAAATCGAGAAAGGAGAGAACACACACACACACACGGATTTAAAGAAAAATAAACTAGTGAGAGGGCTGTGCCTGTAGTTCAGGGACTAATTTTGAAATTCTCGGCAAAGTCTTGGATAAAGCAAGGCGCATATCATCAGCAACATTCAGCTTGTTCCTCGCTTTTGTCTTGAGTTGGACAAGGGTAAAAAAATCCACTTTCTCAAAAGTAAGTCGAGGCAAATGGGACGATGACTCGAAGTGCTGTTTTGCTGACCTGAGGGTATGATTCCTGGAGAGAACACCAAAACTGTGCAAAAGATTTCTCAAAAAAACCTGTCCCGAGCTGACGAATCAAGTCTCAATTCCAAAGCTCGTCTTGAATATCATTTGCAGTGACAGTAATGTCTAGTCCAGGAGTGAAAGGGTTCCTCACAAAAACTTCCTCACCACAGTCAAGGTCAGGAAATAGTTCTTGAACTCATCTTCAAGTGACTTCAAATGTGCAGCAATGTAACTTGAAGATCAGGATTCTAGCAGACAAGGTCTCCTCTGGATTTAACAGCTGTGAAAGGTTGGTAAACATAGCAATGTTTCCCCCAGTAACTTTCCGGTGCCAATTCTGAACTTTCGAAAGAAAGCCACTGAGAACACCTTTAAACTGTACAAAGTGTGTCTGTTGACCTTGAAGTTTCAAGATGAGTTTGTTGAGGTAGTCAAACGTATCAGACATATATAGGCAAATCTTTGGATCCACAAATCTTTTGAGAGAAGTGCCTGCTGAGCTCATCTTTTTCCAGCACTTCCAGGAAGAACTCGATCTCCTCTCTCAACTCGAAGACCCGACATACAAATTTTCCTTCCGATAACCATTGAACTTGAGTGTAGAAAAGCAGTGTTTCATTATCTGCACTCATGTCAGAACAGAGTTCCCTGAAGAGTCGTGTATTTAGGGGGCTGCGTTTCACATAGTTGACAACCTTAACAGTCGATTCCAACTTTTCTTTTAAAGTGGGGTTGAGAGTTTTGCAAGCTAGTGCATATCTATGTATCATGCAGTAAATGCCTTTTGCTTGTGGTGCTTTGTCTTGCACTTTTGTCTGAAAGCCCGATTTAGATCTTATCATGGCTGGGGCACCATCAGTACAAATACCACACACATTCTTCCTCTCAAGACCCTCGTTTAAAAAAAAAAAAGAGGATATCTTGTTCATGACATCATCAGCTGTTGTTGTGGTGTCCAGTGGGGTGCAAAATAAAAATTACTCTTTCACATCTTTTTTCAAACACGTATCTCACAAAGACCAGTAACTGTGAGCACGATGCCACATCAACTGATTCGTCAAGCTGGAAAGAGAACATAGGGGCAGCTTTGATCTCCTCTACAACCTGTTCCTTAATGTTTGAAGACATACGTGCAATACGCCTCTTGACAGCATCATTTGAAAGGGGAACTTGCTGTAATATCTTAGCACTAGCCTCACCAAACACCAGACATTCAGCTGTGTCACCTTCATTGTGCAAAAGCTTTATGAGTGTTTCTCCAATTGGAGGAGGGGGGGGAGGAGGAGGAGGAGGAGGAGGAGGAGGAGGAGGAGGAGGAGGGGGAGGGGGAGGGGGAGGGGGAAGGGGAGGAGGAGGGGGAGGGGGAGGAGGGAGGAGGGGGAGGGGGAGGAGGAGGAGGAGGAGGAGGAGGAGGAGGAAAATGGTTATGAACTGTCCAACATCCTCAGTTGATACTCATACTCATACCACTCACATAGGCTTGTACTCAATGACACCTTCCTGGTCCACATGGACATCTAGCTCCTGGTCTGGTTTGGCCCGAGCATCGTCAAACGACATGTTGGGACGGTTCTTGAACAAGCGCATTTTGTTTGGGTGTGTCTCTCGCTCTCCCCCGATGACGAGCAAACCTTTCAGCTTGACTTGCCCTGTAAATCTGATTTCACAAGAGTATCTTTTCATTGTGAACATTCAACAAGCCTTAAGACACAATTTAGAAAAAAAAGGTGATCTGCTTTGACCTTCCTGTCAGGGTCAATGCAGTTAAATTGAATAAATTCCAGCAGAAAGATGGATATACTCAAGAAATATCTTCTTCTCTCCACAGGGAAATCTAATCAGAAACATTGGGTTTTTTTTGTGGTTATAGTAAGCGTTTTATGGCACTATAACACAAGAAGGTCATATATATGCCGCAGATTACAGTTTTAGTTTCCATAAGAATTTTACGGCATTCGACTAGAGGTGTTACATGAGAATAACAAACACAGAAAAGGAGGAGAGATAAATATGATAGATGTTTGATAGGAAAGAAGGAGCAAACCACACCAGAGCACCCATCAACCACTCACCTCACATTATTGTTTACTCATAAAAAGCAAGATGAACAAACAGTGAAAACAATTGAGGGACAGTACAGAAATAAGACCAACCAGTGGTGTTCTCCTACTACCCGTAATCAGATGCTAGCAAGCACACGCAACATTTAGTATAGTGCTATTGGAACCTAAAATATCTATGTACAATTAGGGTGAAAAAGTAATTTAATAAAACAAAACCTTATCTGACACAGGAAGGAGTACTAATACCTACTAAGACTACAGGTCGTAAGAAATTTGATCCTATCAAAAAATGTTAAGCACCTTCCTTTTAGAAGCTGCAAGACTTAATTGAGAAAGAAAGTTCAAGGTTTGGTATGTGAGGGTAACATCATAAGTCGGGTGAAAAAAGTCAGCTTAGTGGCAGTATATATAAACTGCTTTCTGCTTTTCACCTAGGTCCAAGTTGAACAGTACTTTTCTTCTAGCTCAACACAAGCATACATTTTTAGCATTCTGAAAAGAATTCTGAACACAGCATTACAGTCTATACTGCCAGCCATGCTTACTGCCAGGTTTATGCCAATGCACATAAAGGAGACACATATATCTAAACACAATTTGCCCCTTTAAACCTCCATCTGCCAACTGCTTGAGTTGCATGGTCCTTACTTAATATGTGAATTTGCCCCAAAACACCATCAGCGAACTAGCCTCCAGAGGTAAACATTCCACACGGCACACAGCACCCACTAGGCAGGTGCACAACAATAACATTCCTTGTTAGTGCTCCTTTTAACATTTCGCAAAGGACTCGATTTCGCCAATGTCAGAAACAGAAAAAAAACGTGAAAATTTAAACATCAAGCCAGAGGAATACGGAGGACACCATTAAACCCCATTACACTACACCACCAAATCCATACATGTCCCAAGGTTGGCAGTATATCTAGGTTTGACCGTGCAGCATTGCAGCCTATTATTATGCATATGGCATTGTCACATTCTTTCCTATCTAAATTACACGAAGTAGGCCTACCAATTTGTAGTTAGACGGTGATCTGAAGAAAAAGAGAAAAGTACTTTTCCATTTCCTCATGGACCCAGTGCCCTACCAGGCTCCAGACAAGTTGCACTACTGTCATTTTACTGCTAGGCACAAGAAAAAGGAATTCACCAGACCATGGAGTTGATTGAAAAGATCACCATATATGAGGAAATCAGTGTATGATATAAGGTATACTTACGGAATGTTGAACAACAGCTCTTCATCCACGTCACTTGCCACAAACTGAAAAAGATTGAAAGCAGACAAAATGGGGAATCAGCTTGTTACAGCTTTGAAATGTTTGAAGTATGACATCCTTTGTAACAAAAAAGCTGCTTTGAAAAACACATTAGCATAGGTAACATTTTATAGAATTTGTTTTAAGTCCGCCTGGAATTACATGTCACAAAAAGTAACAAAGTCAGCAGACCGTAAAACTGGTAACATAGGCTGACATTAGTTTGCTAACTTTTCAGGAATTTTTTTTTTCACATGCAAAAGAGATTATTGCCACCAAATGGATGCCGCGAATATGGACACAGTTGAATCCTTTGGCAAGGCTATTCCCCAGCGGAGCACTATTAAGTAACCTAGAGATACAAAGTCAAAGTAACCACCCAACACTGTCTACAACTATTTGTCTCCATACCACTTATGATCCCAGTTCACTTAAGATCCTCCTGTTTTAAGAAAACAATTTTTACCAGTACACAAAAGTCACCCCTGCGATCCCACTTTGAAGGACTATATTTGGCTTGGATCCTGCATTTCAGATCATAATTTACAGAAAAAACCTGGGAGAGTGCAGCTGATCAACCAATCTGTGAAATTTTGCGAGCATTGTACTGTCCATTGCGTCTCATGAGATCATCCATTCTCATCACGCTATAGTGATCACAGTTCTGATACATATAGGCCTATATACATGAACATGTAAATCTCAACAGGTGGGTATATATGTGGTGTGAACTCGTCTATGTATTTGTTTTCCCTTAACATTGCCCTCGCACTATTTTTTTAGCCCCCTGCCTGAACTTACATCACATGGGATCACATCGAAATGTGAACTTGTCAGTGCTTTTTGTTTCCCTGACCATCGTAGTTGTCTTTCATCTCTATGTCCGCCTTTGCGAGCTAAACATTGGATTTGAATTGGTACGGTCACAACACAATGCAGCCTTATGACACAATTGGGGATGGTAAGAGATAAATTTTGGACAGAATAAAGGGAAGAGCAATGGGATCCACGTAGACCTTGAAACTCACAACTGGATAAGTGAAACTGGCATGACTCATGCAGTTGTGATTGCTCATCTTGAGGAAAACCCCTTTTTTGCCATAAAAGTCAAAAGCCCACCCAGGCGTCACTTCGGTACATTTAAGAGTGGGGTATATATCATTTTCCCAATTGTGTGGGCCTGACCATGATTTATAGATAGTGGATTCTCCTCTTGTTGAAGCTGCTAAGATCCCATCCGTCTAAGATCCTCAGGCAGAGACCACACTGTAATAGATTAAAACCTAGGAAACACGTCTTCACTGTATAATAATAGACCATGTTAAATTGGTACTAGATGACAAAAATATATTCTGTGGAGAGGAATTAAAAAGACCCCTCAGGATGAATTGTAGTAGTAAGAGTTCGAAATCAAAACCACTGAGCACCATCACCCCATCACCCCCCCCACCCCTACATGTCTGGGTGCACCATTAGCTCGTTGTTGGTATCATGCAGAATATGGAGTGGAAAGCCCTGATTCTAATCCCCAACAGGCTGTTCTGAACTTGAGTTGTTTTGGGGATTTGTTAAGGTTCTCCATCCATTGAGATGGTCCCGGAGATGGGACGTTAAATTCAGAGGTCCCACCTCTTAAATAAGCCCACAGTGTGTAATAGAGGTGTAAAAACCTTTATAAAAATTAAATAAAAATGACCAACGTACCTTTCTATTCATCATTCAGAGCTCTATCCATCTAGGTCTGTTCCAAAAGTATGTTTAAAAATTAAAGTCTAGAGGCCCTAAATTACAATTCTCAGAATAATGGAGATAAATCAAAAGGGCAAATCCCATGTCATTATGGTCACGAGACTTGCAGGCTACAAGCCTTGTTGTGATTGGCTGTACACAAACAGATCACCCAACTCGCAACCTGATTTATAACAAACGTGTTTGCTTTAGAAGGTCATCATCGGTTCTGTTCAGATTGTGCCACGATGGTAGCTTTTGTCCATCCATGGAGGAAAGTCTGGAAAGCGCAGACTCAATTCAAACTACCGAACCAAACCGGTCTTGCCAACAATTGGCACCGCATACAAGATAAATTATCAAATATTTCAAAAGCTAACACAATTTGCAACAGATATATATATATATATATATATATATATATATAATAATAATTAATATATATACACACAAAATTTGTGTAAATGGACACATCATGATGAACTAAAAAATTTTTGTACAATACCTGGGCATGAGAAGGGAATGAAAGTACAATTTGTGTAAAAAGGATAAAAAATCAAAACTAGCAAAATGGTGTAAATCATAAGTGAGATACATTCACTTTGAGCGACCGTTGCGTTTCAGCCGTGCTTCTCTGTGCCAAAGGTGGATGATTCAGCTTGCTCAGGGCGCCGTGAAGGTAGCCTGCAAATGGTAATCCTTACCTTCTGCTGTGCTTAAAAGGGTTACTACGGTTTTGTTGTTTACGTTCGGTTTTGTTGTTTACGTTCGGCCAACGAGATTGCCAGGCAAGTTGTGAGAATAGATTCCGATGAAGTGTAATTATGATCTCTGTGAAGTTTTGATAATTTTTGTAAGTATATTGAGAAATATTCGTTGTGCCGATGGGGTTTTCTTTAGGGAGAGGGGTGTTAATGTTGTTCTTGGCTGGATTTAACTTTGGTGGTCCCACCTTGTTTACATTAAAAATTAATGCTCACTAGCCATGACAACAGGGGGGGGGGGGTTCAGCTCCCCTGGCAACAACAATAATTTTATAATTTTTTATTGAAAGGATTTGATTTTTAAATATTTTCCATCCGTGAAGTGGTGGGAAACATCAAAATGACATTACATGACAATCTGGCATTCCCATGAGTCATCTACCGGAACTCTCAGGTGGTCTCACTGCCAATAAAACAAACTCATAGGGACCGCAGAAGGTAAGGACCCTTAGCTGGCGATTTTCTAGTTTCGTTCATTAAAGTCCAAAGCTGAACATCAGGGACCCTGAATTGCCAGGTAATCGTTGAGGAGAAAATCAAAATTTAAGCAAAGAACGGCCCTTATTCGGCAGTTTCCACCCCCTAGTCTCAGTATCTATGTACACAGTAACCGGGCACCTAAACTCAATATATACGTACACAGTAACTGGGCACGTCTTGTCGGGCTCGCCATCGTGACCAGTCAGTGAACCTGCTCGTGAACATCACATTGTGAGTACCGGTGGGGGTCACCAAAGTTCATTCAAGTCTGTGTGCTGCGAAGTATAGGGTTCCGGAATGGGGGAATTATTGATTTTGGTAAATTTTTACTTTCACTCCCGCACACAGATGCACTGTTTCAGGGGTCAAACTGCTGTACTGTTTGCTGCAGATCACACATAAAGCCACTAAAACTGTCGCAAATCAATTATTTTCAAGACAATTTCAAATCTAACTGTAAAATATCAAATTATGGGTGTAAAAACAGGGGGGCATGCCCCCCTGTAACCCTCCAGATTTTCTTTTGGCCGGCACTATTTCTCCGAACGTTCGGGAAAATAAAGCTGAGCACTATTTCTCCGAACGTTCGGGAAAATAAAGCTGGGCACTATTTCTCCGAACACTGTGAAATCTCATCCTTTCCCGCAAATTTCGGATATTATATAGATCTATAATTATAGTAAAGGCCTACCAAAGATTGTTCGTATACAATATGGTTCAATCGGTCCAAAAAATGTCCGCAGTAAATATTTATAAAAAGAAATTCCAAACAGTTTTTCGCTACAGATATGACGTATGTTGCCTATGAAGGGTGCTGCTCTTTTTACGGAGGGTTATTGATAACGACACATAGAACTGGCATCTGCGTTTGTCACTGCTGCGACCAATGTACTGACACTGGCAAGCCCCTTAATGTGTGTGATTCCATAATTTACATGTAATATCCTGCACTTTTTTAAAAATTACGCACATTTAGGGTTAAAAAAGCCAAATCTTCTTCGGACAGGTGGACACACGCCCTTATTTGTTTAATGTTTGTTGTTGTTTGTGGGCTGTTCTAATTTTGATTTCTTTCTACTGTTGTGAAACCTTTCTTTTTCACGTTTTTACACTCATCTAAAAATCTCTAGACTAGCTAGCTCTTGAAAATTGAAATAGATATAGACCCAAAAATTTGCCCCTGTGTGTGTGTGTGTGTGTGTGTGTGTGTGTGTGTGTGTATGTATGTGCGTGTGTGAGTGTGTCTGTGTGTGGTAGTAAGTGGAGAGTGAGGAGTGTGTGTGTGTGTGTGTGTGTGTGTGTGTGTGTGTGTGTGTGTGTGTGTGTGTGTGTGTGTGTGTGTGTGTGTGTTTCGGGCCTTATTTCAAATTTCAGCCTTTATTCAGCAGTAACAGTTCAAAGTATACAAAAATAGAAACACAGGATCCATTCACTGCAGGGCTCATGAGTCGTTCATCTCTTCCAGTTTCACTCATTCATTCAATTCCTGTGTTCTCTCTCGCGGCTCATCCCCGTCCGCATGACTTTCATACCCCACCCCCTCCCTCCAGGCACACACAAAGAAAACCTCACTCATTCCCTTGTACCCTGCGAACCATGGACAATAATACAGGCAAAACACTGCCTGGGCTGCATTCCTTTCGTTCGTGAGCTGTGGACCAGGCCAGGGGAGGGTCGGTGTCGTCTTGTAGTTGCTGTCACATGTGGATACACTCGCACATTCTTCCTTTCACTTTCACCTGCTCTTTCACTCACACTGTCTCTCCATCTACAGCTCAACTCGTCATACGTTCAAAAGTTGCCCACTGGTCATGTTTAGTTAGTGTGTGTACATGTGCATGATGGTGGTGGGTGTGTGGTGGGTGTTAGTGAAGGCTGTCTGTAGGCGGGCTTGCCATGCGGTGTTCCTTCCCAGACCAGAGGGCAGAGGCAGAATGAAAGTTGGCGCCGAACTCTCGCAATAAATAGGCAAAATATCACGAGACCGGAAGCCGGAAACCGTTCGGAGAAATAAAGATCGGCACTATTTCTCCGAACGTTCGGAGAAATAGTCACTTCGTTTTCTTTTACCCCAGTGGGGCAGGCCCCCCTGGAACCCCCCGATTGGTCCAAAGCATGTCTATCTCGGTTAAAAACAATCAAATATTTCAAAAACCATTAATTCGCGACGGAAATGAAGTTGATATTCGTGTTCAGCGCATCAATATTTAGTAGAAAATAGACAACTGGTAGCTGAGTGTGAGACGGGAGGGAAAGTAAAAAAATACCTTAATTTTTTTTTTAGGTACAGTCGGGGGAGGGGTGGGGATGAAGGCAGCACCGGATGACAAAAACTGAACTTGGAGTTCTGAACTGCCTGGTTATCCTGCTGTAGATCTACACATGACTGAGGCTAGATCAACATGCCCGGTTACCGGTTACTGTGTACATAGATATTGAGGCTACATGCCCTGTTACCGGTTACCGTGTACGTGTAGATATTGAGGCTAGGTGCCCGGTTACCGTGATAAAAAAGAATGTGATACTAGATCTAGAGTAGATATCTAGATCTAGATCTAGATCTAGATATCTAGATCTAGATCTAGAATCTAGTTTAGATTTAGATCTAGATATCTATATATATATATATATATATATATATATAATATGTTTACTAACTTTGGATCTGTCCATTCTTTTTTCATAGGCCCTGAAGACTGTTTTCCCTGAGCCTTCGTCCTCTTCGTTCAAACAAGTAAGACTGTCCATGTCAATTTTCAGATACAAATTGAATTCTAGACCCTTTGAATTTTCTGCATCACTTGCATCGGGCGTTCCATGACTATGGCCGTGTCCCCCACCACCTCCTCCATGACTGTGCCCGTGGTTGCACCCTTCTGCCATATATCCTTCTCTCAAGAACAGTCACACACAGCTGGCTGATAGTCGTTTTGTTTCTGTTCACAGTGCCAGTGCCAGACAACAACAATCAATATGAGAAAGTGTGGAAGGAAGTAGGTCTAAGGAAGAGAGCGTTCGAAGTTCGAGTACTTGTTCGCTCAAGTAAAATTCTCTATACGAATACGCGCAGTGTTGATTTTAGCATTTATTAGGCAAAGAAAGAGTCTTTTTAGCGCCGCCTCGCCTAGGCCTAGTCGTTTTCATCCACACTATGAATGTAAATCAATGTATATCTTTGGAATTTATGATATGGAACCACCCTATAAATATATTAATATTTTTGCAGCCCATTTTCAGCCTTGCTTATTTGCTTCAGATCCGATAGGCCCTAGGATGACAAAATCAAACAACGGTGTGGATAGTCGATTATCCCTATTAATTGTTTTACTCTATCGAATACAGAAATATGCGGCTACTCGAAGTGAAGAGTTTAAATCTATTCCATAGGCCTGTATTAATTTCTTTGCAGTGAAGATTTTGTTATTGTTGTCCACAGAATTCTACACTTAAGTGTAGAATTCTGTTTAAAAGGAGGTAACTCTATGGGTTATTGCAGAGAGTAATAGTGTCTCTGGTTATTGTGAACTAATGGAAGGGAAATAACTCTACTCAAATGTGAAACGTATTACCGGCCACTGTGAAATAGCCCACACTACAGCCAGGCTTTATATGCGGTGTTTACTTGACTAGATTTCGCAGTGACTATTGAAACTGAAAGTGTCTACAATCTTATGTACATAGATCTATATCTAGATCTATATCTATATCTAGTAAACAATAGGTTTCTCTTAAAAAATGGCAACTCAGACTGATGCAATCGCAGTTATTCCAAAAGAAAGACCACAAGGAACCTATGATGACCAAGGCCGGCTTCTAATCGATGGAAGTTTACTGGAAGGCGTGAGTGAAATCATAGATCTAAATCTATGAAATTTTTTCCAAAACCCAAAACAGATTAGATCTAGATCTAGATATAGATCTAATCTGTTTTGGGTTTTGGAAAAAATTTCATAGTACAAATTTTCTACTTTAAATGTAATAGTAATGTGTTCATTCATTAATCAATGTAATCCCCGTCCCTTATTTACAGCGGAAACCATATAACATAACAGGGAAGGTTGGACCGGAGAAAAAGGATGAACTTGTAGTTCCGTTCGTTGGGAGGACTTCCGTAAGAGCGACCATTATGAGACAGCAGTTCAATTGAGGGCTTGGGGTAGGGGTAATGGTAGGGTTAGGTCTAGGCCTCTTCTTTATTGTGTTTGATGGGGTGGTCGCTCGTTACGGAAGTCCTTCCCGTTTGTTAAAAAGTCTACGATCTGTTTGTTTACATCCAGTGAAGAAATCCGGAAGTCTTGATGACCAAATGGGCAACACAAAGAACAGGGGGGATACAACCTAACTCTGCAAAACATCTAATATATGCAATTAAACGTAGAACGACGCGTCTTCCTAATAATTGGCTGCTAATTTTAGTAATATGATGTCATCACTTCCTCACCTAGGATACCCACAGACTATTTTAAGAAGGACGTGGAGGTACCGCATGATGATGTAAGCACTTTTCGGAAACGAAGTGACTATTCGGACTCGAGTCCGAATATGAAAAAATGTTATTCGGACTCTGATTCTTGTCCAGCATGACATCACTTCCGACTTCCTGTGACTCGTGACTCCGGCTTCCTGTCCTGCCTCTCTCGTGACTCGCATCAGGCTGGGTAGAGACCGGGATCACTTCGGGCAAAATGGCGTTTTGTGCAGGAGCCGAGTTTTTATCTTATGATGAATTTGAGGCCAGCCTGAAAAGTTATAGATAGCGCTTCTAATATTAATAAATTATGTTTATTTTTCAAGAGGTCATCAGAAGCAATTAAAGATGGCTCGTTAGCGTGTGTCGGGGTCGGATGGGTGGCCTGCACACGTGTAGCTGTGTGCGTGTCGGGGAGGGGGGTGGGGGGCACTATCGGTCCGGGCGTTGAACGTCGCATACGCGTCAGTCTTTTTTCCAACGGCAACTGATCATTATTACAATAATAAGCTAGTCTTGACGTAGATCTACGTAATGAATTGTGCGCTGGTCTATGGAATCAAAAGTTTCCGTATGCTCAGCTCTACACAGCAACACAACTTTTTCTTGGTAAACAATCGAGATGACACAGGTTTGTGTATTTGAACGAATCGGTCTTTTTTTTAACACAGCTCATAATATAGCAGGTGCCAGTGGTCTGCTAATCTTCAATTTTACCTTTTTCTACAACAAAGAAAGTGGGAAACATGGGGGGTGGGGGGGGGGCGTATCAATGTGGCGGCGTGCATCGGATTGGCAGAAAAGGTGTGGGGGAAACTAAAAAATGGCGGAAAATTGGAAGCACTAAACGTTAGATCTATAGAACGAAGACACTTTCTTTTTTTCCGGACCGGAGTCCGAATAACATTTTTTCCTATTCGGACTCGAGTCCGAATAAGAATTTTTTTTATTAGGACTCGAGTCCGAATATGAAAAAATGTTTTTCGGACTCGAGTCCGAATAAAGACGGCCTTTCGGAATTCCTAATCTAGATCTAGATCTAGTACTTAGACCTGATGGAAGATCGCTGTTAGATCGTTGATGCTCAACACAGTAAGAACTCTGATGCTTGAAATTGAAACACGGTAAACGCAAAGACAATAACGGTAAACCGCACGAAAACTGCCGTAAAGACAACGGAGGACCCTCCCCCCCCCTTCCTGCATGCTTCATCAGTACATGATACTTTTATATTAAAAAACTGCAAAGCAACAAATTATAATTTATGGGGAAAACTGTTGGTCAGACGGGAGGAGGAGGAGAGGAAAAAAACAAAAAACAAACTAACTTCCAGGACCGGGATTCGATTCCACGCTCATAAAAATATTGTATGACTTCAAAGGCAGACGCGCTGTCCATTCGGCCATCAGAACTTCCAACAGTGAAAGGTAGATTTTAAGCTTGATATATACACTTCCATCTTTGGTGCCCTGCGGTATATTTGTGGTCGCGTGATCAGGGGGGGTATCCCGGTCTGATGTCAAACAAGATGCCCGCCTTACCTAAAAATAGTTTGCGTCTTTCTACGTTTAATCGCATTATTCCTCCTTCCACCCCTGAATCCCCCCCCTCCCCATATTTTTATTAGGTCAAGCCCCCCTGAAACGCCTTGACTCTTGGGCCCAACTGGCGAATAATAATTCAGGGGTGGGAACTGTCGAAAAGACGCCATTTTTTGCTTGAATTTTGATTTTCTGGCTTTAGTGTCATTCTTTAGTGTTTCCTTCCTCCAGTCTCACTCTTAGTTCACTCCTCAACGATTACCTGACAATTCAGGGTCTCTGGCGTCAGCTTTGGACTTGAATGAACAAAACTATAAAAGTCACCAGTTAAAGTCCTGTTGTATCAGATCCCTGTTAAATCAGAAATGCAAGGGAAGTAGGTTAAACATTTGCGGACTAATCCAGCTGTATTTATTCATGGGTAGTTTCCCTTGCCAAAGTACCCACGAACAGCACACAGCAACCCTCTCTGGTGGCCGTGTTGCAGGCCTAAGCATGACACATTACCCATGCGTGCAGCAAGGCTTAGGGCTAGATCAAAGTCTGCAGCACACGGCAGCCTTCTCTTGCTTCATCCGCTGCATGTGCTTGCAGTGGCGTGGCTTGCGTGGGCTTGCTCCATCACTGCATTTCTCTCTCTCTCTCTCTCTCTCTCTCTCTCTCTCTCTCTCTCTCTCTCTCTCTCTCTCTCTCTCTCTCTCTCTCTCTCTCTCTCTCTCTCTCTCTCTCTCTCTCTCTCTCTCTCTCTCTCTCTCTCTCTCTCTCTCTCTTACTTTTAACATATTAACGAGCCTTTGTTCCTGCTATAACCAATTGGGCTCCGATGAGGCCCTGTTATGGCCGATAACTTTCAATAAAGGCAAAGGGTAGGAAAAAACAGTGATTTAAAAAAGGCCAGCTCTATTCGGACTCAAGTCTGAATATAATTTTTATCTATTCGGACTTGAGTCCAAATATGGGTTTTATATCTAATCGGACTCGGGTCCGAAAAAAATGTTTTATTTCTTCGGACTCAGCTTCTAAGTGAGTCTTGTGAGTGTAAGGAGGTTACATAATATTACAGTCGTCGGGGGATTTCACATAAAACCAGAATTAGAACTAGTATTGCCTACTAGGATTGTGTAATTGTGTCAAAAGTCAAAAGACTGCACTCTCATTAGATCTACCCAATGGTAGTATTTAAGTACACGGTAACCGACTACTCAGGGTCTTTCCACCACCACTGCAGCATCATCATTACTTACACCACCAATTGTCTTTCCATATGTTTAATTTCATTTTATTGTGTGTTATAGTTTTTCTGCAATGTTCTTTTCTTTTATCACATTGCACAAAACCGACATCTGTGGCCTCTTCCCAAAACCTCTTCCCCCTGCAAGCCAAGAGTGCGAGATTGCTACGCGCAGTCTCATTGGTCGACATAATTAACTTTATATATCTGTCAGGGCGGGATGGTCATTTTGATCCCTGTTTCCCCCCTCAGATGGAATCAAAGCTTCCCCACAACCTGTTTTTATTCAATATTTGCTTGGTAATTTGGAAAATAACATTGTTAATCTGTGCACTACTAAAATACCTTGTGTTCTTCCTGTGTGCATTTTTTTTTTTTAATTTTTCTGTTTGTCGCCACGGCAGGGAGGACAAATTCTACGGAATGCAGCAGCTCTCTCATGTATTCTGGGAATTCCCATCAAGGTCATCAACATAAGAGCAGGCAGACAAAAGCCAGGATTGAGGTAGTGTTGTGTGTCCCATTTAGTTATCGTATCGGGTCAGTATTGTAGATCCGATATCGTATTGGGTCAAAGAATTGGATTGCTGCTGACTTTCATAAAAAGTGAATTCCTTATCAAGCAATTCTGTTCTTTTCTGGTGAATAATTCAGCAAACTGTGAAAGCGAACATACATGTTGGTTTTATACATCCGGATTTCATGAAGTTAAATTTATTTAAAAATAAAGTCTGTTCTTTGATAGTTGTTGCCAGTGCATGAATTCTACCGAATAATGGGCAATTGACCTATTATGTTACTTTGTTTTCATACTCGTTATTTTCTTATACAAATCTACTCTCAAAGGCTCGCTTTCTATTAGACGCATTAAGTGACAATGGTAAGGATGGCTTTTGTGGCCAAGTGGTTAGGCTCTCGGACTCGCAACCGTTAGGCCTTACGTTTGAGTCCTGTCAGGAACAGGACGCTGTGTCCTTGGTAAGGCACTTTACAGGAATTTTCCTATTCGAAGTGTATACAGACCCGGTAACCGGGAACAAAGCCACGAAATATACAGGCCCCGTAGGGGAACTCTTTTGAGATTTCAGAAAGTTTCAGCGCCCAGACCCGGTAGTGTGTGTGTGTGTGTGAGTGAGTGAGAGAAAGAGAGAGAGGAGAGAGCAGAGGGAAGTGCTGGCAAAATGTATGACACAGTTGGCAGGAGGGAACGAGAGAAAAATAGAGTGAGAAATAGGAGGGGAGAAAGAAAGACAGAGACAAACAAAGAAAAAGAGAATGCGAGCTATATACAGAGACAGAGGGAGGGAGAGAGGGGGGGGGGGAGGGGGGGAGATTGCTTGATTTAAATTATGACATTGTTCTTTTCTTCAAATTGTGATTCCTCCAACTCCAAAACGGGGGAAAAACGATCGTTCATCGAAAAGCCATCTGCAATCTTAATTTAGATTTAGATCTAGATTCTAGATCTCTAGATCTAGGCTAGCCTCGAAACTAGATCAATGATTTATATCTGTCGGTCTAGATCTAGACCTAGGCCATAGATCTAGAAGAACCTAGTTTTACCCTGAGCCAAGAGGGCGCTGAAACTTTCCGAAATCACAAAAGAGTTCCCCTACCGGGTCTGTATACTTTGTGACTTTGTTCCCGGTTACCGGGTCTGTATACACTCCCTTTCCTATTTTCCTCAATTCACCCAGCTGGGAATTGATAGCCAGCTACAGACAACGAAAGATCTTGTCAGTTTGTTATTGTTTGAAGTTTGAGTGCCTGTAATTGGCAGCTTGCACTGTATGCTTCCTGGGAAGCCGAAATGTTTCTGAGTGTTCTAGGATCTTCTGGAGTATAATAGTTGTAAAGGGAATGGCTATAGAGCATGGAATAATGGATACATATATATATATGCTACATAAATGCAACTATTATACCTATTATTATTATTGTTATTATTATTATTTTAGCATTATTATTATTATTAGCATTATATTATTATTATTAGCAATATTTGTTTGACATATATTTCTTTCTGAATGAGAAACAAATGACTTGTTTTATTGTGGGGTTGTTTATTTTTTTAGTTTTCTAATTTTTAATCAAGTTGCTTCATTTAAAACACTGTTTGCTCTAATGTATCAGTAAGTATCTGTAACACAGAATTGACTGCATGGAAGTCAGTGATCTAGTCTTGAGTATTTTTTTACTCCTTTTTCTGCTTGCCGAATAAGATGTTTAAAAACTCAAAACCGTCACATTTTGTTGCGAAACTTTAAATATTATTCAGAATTATTGCACAAGAATTGTGTTATGTACTGCTGGGCTACATGTTTATTAAAAATTTCTTTCCCATCCATTAGTTTTTGAGAGAAAAATAAAGGATTTCCACTCTGCTTTTTTTTGTTTTGGGGGGGGGGTGTGACAGTTTGTGTTATGTCACCATTCCTATTATGTCCTGTATGATCTCAGTTTTTGCTTCTTTTGGTAATCTTGTATGTAGATTTTAAAAGGTTGAGCTTGCACTCGTGTTGCAATCTTGAAAATTGTTAAATATTTCCAATGTTTTTCCCACAGGCCCCAGCACATGACTGGCCTTGACCTTGTGTCCCGTCTATGTGGTGGCAGACTTGATGGCTGTGTCGTTGGCTCATGTCAAGTGACCTTTGACCCTGGACAGATTGGCCAAGGGGAGTTTGTGGCGGACACCAAGACAGCAGGGTTTGTATTCAGATTCAGCAGAGAATGCTCTGGCGTTGCTTTTTTTTTTAAGGATGAAGCACACATATGTCTGATCAGCAGCAGACTAAAGGCAATGTTCCGACACATTTCGAACCATCATGCGCAAATAAATAACATGAATTTGTGTTATATTCCATATTATGTATATTTTTGCCTGTGTACTTAACTTTTAGATCAAGAAAACAAAATTGTAAAATCTGTATAAGTAGCAAAGTTATGCATTTGTAAATTATTTGTAAAGTGCCCCAAATTGCAGTGTTGTCGAGACTAGAATAATAATAATAATAGTTGCCATTTGTGTTGTGTAAATTCCCACTAAACAGCAGACTCTATCGGCTTTACAATCTATATTATCACCCCAGTAGACCTGATGGCATTCTGAAACAATTTCAACTTCGTGGGAAGCATACAGTGCCCCTGAGCAAGTTTTTTCTTTAAACTCCTAATTGTGTGCTCCCTCAACTTTTTAATAAATTCCAGGTCTTTTTAATGATTACGTAGAAAGAAAATTACTGCTAGCAGCACGTCACCATCAGTCAATGTCACATTTTGTTAAAAGTCTCTACGAATAAAAAAAAAATATTCTGAATGTTCCGATCTCATTAATGGTAATGAAATCAGCTATGTTTACCCTACATAGACAAGTGGTGTGTCTTGTAAAAAGATCCTTGACAAAAGCTGTACTTTTTCTTTACTTTCCTCTAAGGTCCAGGGGGAGTTATATAGACTTTCATATTGAACTCTTGATGCCTCAATTGTGTTGATTTTACTCATATTTTTTTTTCAATTTAAAGAGTCAAATATGAGGGGCTCTTAGGAAACCTTGTGGACAGTAAACATTTTTAAAACTTGACTTTATGAAAACATTGGAAAACTCCATCTTTCTTGACTGTTTTACATTTTATCTGGATGCAATTGTATTTTCCTGTAACAGAGTTTAGCATTTCAAAGAGCATGAGGATCGAAATATAAATTTTACAAAAATGTCTTTTTTAAATTTCCACAATAAGGACGCTTAGAGAGTAAAATGAAATTTGAATGTCGTTTTTCTGCGGCTGTAATGTTCATGTAGTACGGTGTTATTTTGTACTTGAAAGTTTTTATTAGACTCTTGATAAAAATGACATATCCAGAAAGAGTAACAGTTGCAGTGTTAATATCTAATTTTTGCTTCTGACATCACCAATATTGATAAGCAATTTTTTTTAAAGGGAGGTTCAAGGTTTGCAGAGAAATCTCAAGTGCAGAGCAGGGAAAATAGCCCAGTAGGGAGCAGGTTAGAAATGATCTTACATTTATTAAACTACAAACCACATCAGGGGTGAATACGGCTCAGTGTTTTGGTCTCTCTCTCATCTCATATATCTTCTCTGATTCTTGTGAACTGCTTGACCCCATATCCTGTGTTGTCCCATGTTTCAGGAGCATCAGCCTCTTGCTGCAATTAGCCCTGCCCTGCACAGTCTTTGGCCCCGCCCCTGTCATGGTTACCTACAGGGGCGGCACTGACACCAACATGGCTCCGCCAATTGACATTTATCATTTAGTACGTTCTTTAGATTACCTATAGAGGCCTTCTGCTTGTTAGGAAACAAGAGTTTCTTATTTTTCAAATTGCATTACTCTTTCACTCTTTTGTTTCCCTTTATCAGGACAAAACCAGGACTTGTCATTTTCAGATATTACTCTAATAATGTTAGATACTGAAAGTTGAATCCTAGAAGCGTTTATAAGGACCAGCCGGAGGGTTTGGGTATGGTATAATGATACATCTTCGTCTCTTGGCCTCTCTGTATGGTATGGTTGTAGCAATGGGTCTCCCTCTTAAAAGACATTCCTGTGTTGGCTCAGGGCACCAGGCAGGCAGATGCTCCTGTGTCTATCCAGTGACTCACTGACAATCTTGTGTTCTCAGCTTACAATGGAAGAAAAGATTTACCCAATATTTTAAGAACGATGAATCCTTTCATTGTCTGAAGCTCAGCTTCTGTTTAGTTAGTCTATTAAAATTCACTTTGATTGTTTTGTAAAGGAAGTCATTCTGCAAAGGTTGAGCTGCTGTTTTATTAACCAAACTAACATCATAATCTCTACATTCCCTCAGTTGTCCCATAATATGCTGAAAGTGGTTAGCAGTTGAAAACTTGGAGATTATTTCTCTGCTCCTTTTTGTCTGACAGGAGTATCTGCCTGCTGATGCAAGCCGCTGTTCCATGCTTGCTCTTCTCCCCCGTACCCTGCAGACTGCTGATGAAGGGTGGGACCAACTGTGACATGGCGCCGCAGATTGACTACACCACTATGGTAGGAAAAGATTCAGTTAAGCTCTGCTCTGTCTAATAAAACATGAGCATTGTAATAGTGACTTACTGACTGTTTTTTTTTTTTCAGACTGAAAATTAGACTAGACTAACGGGCAGTTTGATTAAAGCATGAAACGTCGGCAAGGGTTATCATTAGAGGTATTTCTAGCTGTTCCGAAATATGAAAGTTATTGAGGTACTTGAGAGCATCCGAGCAAAGGAATGAATGGATAACCATGATCGCCGATGTCTGTCGCAGATCTGGCACTGGATGATGATGATTGAGGACTGGATTTAGATATAAAGATTGATAACACTTGTGTCCTTGTGTCATGTCATTGTACATCAATATATGTAAGTGATCAGTAGATTTGGGTTTTGTGTTTTTATCTGCCCTTTTAGTAAGTGGTCATTGCTTTAGAAAGGCTTTCTCCTTGTTTTCATACGTTTTATAGTTCATTGGTGTGGTCATTGTTTTAGAAAGGCTTTCTCCTTGTTTTCATACGTTTTATAGTTCATTGGGCCTTGCATAACCTGAATACAAAAACAATAAGCTGTGACATGGAGTGTCAATTCTGTGTTCTCGATTTTTCTTTCATGTGACAGAGGCACACAAGTCCTTTATTGTCTCTGTAAGAGATGTCTTCATTGCCATCTTTACATGTGTGTGTGTAAAAGTCATTTTGTACTCTCTGTTTGGAACTTTCTTGACCTACTATATATAGGCTTTTTTCTTAAAGAATTGAGATGTCGAAATTTACTTTTAGCGATGTAAGATTTTCTAAAATCAGGAATGGAAATACCTAAAAATTGTGTTAGTCTCTGAGTTGTTCCTGATTAAGAAATTGAATACCTAGTTTTTTTATCACTGTCCAACCTTGTTCAAGTGTTCCACATTTGAGTTTGAAAATGTTCATTCTTTTTTTTTTCAGATCTTTAAACCTATTGCTGAAAAGTTTGGAATGCAGTTTGAAGTAGATATTAGGAGGAGGTAAGTCTCAAGTCTTGACAGAATGGAGTTTTTGCTGGACACAGCTGCTGGCTCGTACTTTATTCCTAACTTGTTATATATATATATCTGTCTGCCTTCTTTTTTTTGTCCTTTCCCTCCTCTTAAATAGCCCCCCCCAAAAAGTCAGCTCCTATCTCTTTAGCAGCAATTTAAATTCAAGTTTCTGTTGAAAGATTGTTAAATTCATATTCAACCCATTGCACCCGAGCTACGGGTATATTCGTAGCTGCAGCGCGCTTCCGTCCACTGAGCTATGAGAATAATCGTATCAAAATACCAGTTCATAAAATCGAGTCCAAACCGCTTATCCAGGTTTCTATTGAAAATAATAGGTCGCTTGTAGCTTGTAAAAACATTTGCAAGCTTGTTTCGATCCAGTTTTTCGTCAAGTACGAGTTAGTTTTGTTGTTTTGTTACCGCAAATCATGGCAAGAAAGCGAGTACTGAAATCTTCATGGACAAAAAGAAGGGAAAAAAAGCCACAAAAAACAACTGTGCCTCAGCTATTTTTGTGTTTGTAGAAATACATGAACCATGTTTTTAGTTTTGTTTTAGGCATAAGCGGCAAAGAAAGTGAAAGTAGATGTAAATCTAGAAAAACAAGGGGATCGGATTGATTGTAGTGCCTTGAAAGCTTCGAAGAAAAGCTAAATCTAGACTACATATTTACTATAAGTTGCTATGGCTAAATCGAGTGCCGAAGAGTCGCAGTTGGATGAGGAATATATTGTTTACTCTGCTCTTTCCTTCATCTCTCTCTCTAATAATATTAAAAGAACATTTTGAATAAATCTAAGTGAAATTTCATATTGATAGCTTAAATAGTTTTGGGCTCAATGCGTGTCTGAGGTTAGTGTGTCGAGTTCAGACCAATTTTTCCCCCGGCTCGCACCAAACCAGGTGGACACATGTGCACTGACTCGACAACGCAGGGTGAATTGGGTTAAAGCCATGGTTGCTAAGGGCATTCATATTCTGTTGAATGACTCCTTGTCTGTAAGTCCTTTTTTCTGACATTTGGACGCGCAGTGATAAGGTTAGTTCTACACCGAGTGATGTTAACTCACTGAAGACTGAAGAATTTTACTATGTACAAGCACCATAGACTGAAGGTTTTTGGGTTTTTTCAAAATTGTATAAAATCTGAGCCATTTAACCAACTCAATGCCCTTTTGACACAATTGAAAACAACAGGAGAACCATAAAATGCCAAAGTACAAGCGTCTATCTCAGCTAGATTATTTGTCATGATATTTTTTTAAAAGGTATAAAATTCAATGTTTAAAAAAAATAGGAATAAGAATATAAGAGACACCATATAGACAATCAGTGCGATTTACAACACAAACAGTTTTAGCAATCACCTAATGAAAAATGCTCTGGATCAAAAAGTTATTGACTGATTTCCGTTTTAAAATTTTTTGAATGAAACAAATGGCTGCGCATGCATCTAAGCTGGATCCCATGCTTTTAGCAGCATTTATATAGACGCTGTCTGTGATAATGACAATCCCGCGTTTTCCACTGGAACCGTCTCACAGAATTGACGGGCTATACCGTGTTTTTAATGAGAAACGTCTAGTGAGTGTATGCTACGTAGACTTTGACTTTTGTAGGATTGCTTGTTTTGGCACCTAGAAAAATGACTCACTTCATGTCATACTAAATGAGTCGCCTTTTTCTTTCAATCCCAACTGTTTTTGATTGGGTTATCATGAAGGCAAATAATGTCCACCCACATAAAGTCAGTGATTTTTCTGCTGCTCACAGCATTGACTTGTAAAAGACCAAACAAGGCTTTCATTCTTTTGTGAGAATGATGGCCAAGTGTGGGTGCTACTTGGAGTGTGGGCGCTACTCAGTACGACCGGGTGTGTTCACTTCACTCTGTGTTGATTCTGCTATCCATCAAACTTCTTCCATCTTAATATCTTGTTATAAGTATTCA